CTTAAAGTGAAGACCTGATTATTTCAGGAGCCTTATCACAAGTCCATTGTTTTTGAATGTTGGTGCTACTTCCGCTGTATTTTCACACTTAAAACAATAATTTGGTATTCCTCTTGTACCATTGTCCTCTTTTATGCTAAGAAATAAGTCACCTGGCAGTTCTCTCCCAAGTGGTTCCACTGCTGCCAGCATTAAGTCGGAGTATGATTCAGTGGGCTATATAACACTTTTAATTTTTCAATACCTGTTGATCAAAAATAGCTTTAAACCTATACACTTTTTTTTTTTAGTTTTATTTAGTAACTTTCAGGAGGGTGTACTCATTTTTGCAACAACATTTTATCACAAAATCTTATTTTGCTGAATAATTTTGGCATTCTTCTTTGGTAATTGATCAAGCAGGCTTGTTGGAACATTGCATCTCCAAAGAACCCTAACATGTCTTCTAAGTAAAGAGTAATTGCTGAGTTTAAGTTTTAGAGGGGGTGTACTCATTTATGCTGTGCACTGTATATATATATTTAGATGTGTTTATATACAGTTTATATATATATATGAAGAGTTCAGATGCAAAAGCCTCTAAGTGCCATCTGAAAATTTCTTCTAAAATTAGCATTTTAATCAGGCTCCTATGTTTAGGTTCAGAAATTTCACTTTAATGGCAATGTATAGGTCATTTTCTATGCCATTAAAGTGAAATAAATGAACATAAACATATGAGCCTGATAAAAATGCTAATTTTAGAAGAAATTTTCAGATGGCACTTATATATTTTATATATATATACAGTATAACACACATACACACATTTATAAATAAATAAATTGTATTTATTAAATAAATTACTTTCGAGCTATACATTTCAGTGTTGTGTATGATTTGTTTATAAAAAAGTACATACAAATATTTAATGATTTATTTTTTTGTTGTATGTAATGTAATGTATACATTCAAATATTTATGCTACAATAAAAAAACATGCATGCATTAAGTATATTTAATATTTTAATAAAACTAATTTATGCAAAGTGGTTTTGCGATGTAAATGGACACAAATTAATTAAAATATTTGTGTAGGGCTAAGTGTTTAATTGAGATTTTAGCCACTAAATCAAGGCTGGGGGAGAACTGGCCGTGGAGCAGCAGCAGAATTATTAACAGTGTGAGAGATGCCAGCCAAAGAGCTCATAAACCGTATACTAAGAGCTCATAAATGACCACATATGTATGCAGGAGGCAGATCCATGACCAGGAGTCCCTCTTATTCACAGGTACGAGCTAACAGCTCCGATGGCTTTCTGAACTCATATGGCTCAATCCATTAGTGGTGAGGCTTGAGTCATACTTCAACAGGGTCTGTAAAAGACACGTATATGATAGGGCATAATATCGTTACAAATGAACCTGCCTTATCGCCAGGCTGATTTATTTCCGGGAATAATGGAGAACAGATAGGGAATTTTTACATCGTTTCTCTGTGTCACAGCTCCGCCAACTTTCACGGACACACCGCCGCAGTATGTGGAGGCCAAAGAGGGGGGCAGAATCACTCTGAGCTGCACGGCCTTCGGGAATCCCAAACCTTCAGTCAGCTGGCTCAGGGAGGGAGACCCCGTACAGGACAGCAGCAAGTATAAGGTGAGCAAACACATCTAAATTTTATGAATATTAGTAACTGTGTTTGTTCCCCTGATGTCTACCAAAAAAAAGAAAGAATACAGTTTCTTGTACCAAAAACAGCTGTTATTTATTTTTCACCCTCTGACCCTCTGTTATGATTGGCGGTGTAGATCACGCTGGCTTTCATCGGGGCAGTACATGTTGCTTAATACTATAAAATATAAATGTTTTTGTTTTTAAATGAGGTGAAAAAAGAGGATTATTTCCAGAACGCAGTTGTGAGACATTTAAATTAAATTACATTTATTAATTAATGCAAGACATTTTATCTGTGGCCTTTTTCATCATATATGCTGTATGTAACTTATGCTACAATGCTGAATGAAATTAAGAAGTATTATTTACATACATATTCATTAGACTATTTTTGGTGTGGAAAGCCACTTATTTTAAGCCTGTTTTTTTCACTCATTTTTCTAGTGAGATCTGGCAACACTGGTCTCTCTGTTTCTGTCTTCTCTGTGTTTGTGCTCATGGTTATGATGTCATTCTTATAACGGTTTCTTTTCCATCTTTTGCAGCTTATTTTTTTCAAAGTTTGGGGTCAGTAAGATCTTTTTTTTTTTTTTTTTTTTAGATCTCTTATACTCACCAAGGCTGCAGTTATTGGATGAAAAATACTGTAAAAACAGTAACATTATGAGAAATTATTGCAATAATTTTAAATAACTGTTTTATTTTTGAATATATTTTACATGTAATGTAGTCCTGTGAATTTTCAGTTGCCACTACTTCAGTCTTCAGTGTCACATGATCCTTCCGAAATCATTCTAATTTGCTGATTTGCTGCTCAAGAATAATTATTTTTTATTATTGTTGAAAAGAGCTTAATATTTTTTTGTGTAAACTGTGATAGATTTTTTTCTTTGCTGAATGGAAAGTTCAAAAGTACAGCATTTATTTGAAATTGGAATGTTTTGTAACAGTATAAACGTCTATATTGGCACTTTTTATATTCCTTTTTTTTATCTTACTGAACCCAGTCTTTTGAACAGTAGTGTACATTTTAGTTTTCTCCCATTTAACAAATGCAGAAGAAACATATTCAATAAATGAAGATAAGCAGATGTTGTAGCTAGTTTTACATGTTTGATTGACATTAGACCATAACCTCAGACTCATTTGACCACATAAATATTTACTCTAATAGTTAATTGTTACAACAAAATACAGTGGCCATGATTAGTGCATTTATTAATGCTATATTTTCCATCAAGCCATCATGAGACATTGTAGCTAATTTAGTACTTTAAGATCATGGTTTCAAGCATTAGCAATGTGCCAGAGCCAAGGCTGGTCTCAAAAAAGCACACTGTCAGTCTGTTACCTAATTGAGAGAACAGGACAGTGAAGTTATACATGACAGACAGAGACTGTGTTCAGAATCCAGAGCTCTGACAGATGAAAAAATGATAGTGTTTGTACTATCGACTAAAACACTGTGCTATTATCAGCTCACTTTCTCTCAGCTGGGACAGTTCTGTCTGTCTGTGTGTGTTAGTGTGTCTATTGAAGATAGCAGTGCTTTAGTGGTCCAGCACCCATGAGTGTCAAAGTAGTCATTGAGTCATGTCGAACTGTGTTTCAGCTCTCTCTTTCAATGATGCCATATCGATATATAACTATTCGATATACTTTTTTAACTATTCATCAAATAATCCTGAGAAAAATATATCACCATTACCACAAAAATGCTCCACAACTGTTTGCAACATTGATAATAATAGGAAATGTTAAAAATATTAGAATGATTTCTGAAGGGTCATGTGACACTGAAGACTGGAGTAATGATGCTGAAAATTCAGCTTTGCCATCACAGGAATACACTATATTTTTTAAATATATTAAAATAGAAGACGGTTATTAAACTTTTTAATAATATTTCACAAAATGACAGTATTTTTTTTACAGTATTTAAATAAATGCAGTTTTGGTGCGCATAAATTAGACTTTCAAACGCATTACAAAATCTTACCAACCTCAAAGTTTTAAAGTGTAGTGTGCGGTATGTGACATTTTGAACTATTGGGGGCACGAGAGGGTTTGGGGGACTGCCACTAAAATTGCCAGCAAGGATATTTAGACTGTGCCTAATAAGTTTGCCATATTTCCGATGGTTTTCCATACCTTTGTCTAAAAGTGCCTTTAAGCAAAGCAATTGGAGTTTCCCTGCTGTATGTTTTAAACTTCCTCTGTCAGATTGAAGAAATCAAGCAGCAGTTTTAACACGGTAATCGCACGGCCTGTAGGAATTAATCCCCCTCAACCCTGTCATATTCCCTAGTTATTTAGCACTAGCCCTCTGTCCATCTCGGTGCTGTAACTGTGCTCATTTTAACTATGTGTCGTAGAGGCGCGTCCCTTGGGCCTGGTATGTTCACAGTGCTATGTAATTAGGAACCAAATAAACCATCCTAGTATTTCAATACTAATGGAATTTCTCGACTTGAGTGACATCTTTTATATTTCATTAACTGAGCCGTCTGTGATATAAAACAGACTTTTTTATTCCCTTGTCGAAAACGTCGTCTAAAAACACAAGCTCTTTTCTCACAAGAGATCCATTGATTGTGGCTCATCAAAACCAGCAAGCCAAACATACTGAAACTAACCATCAAACGCTTCGTGCATATAAACCATCTGCTCACTGAAGACTAAGCGCAGAGATTCCTACAGGAACGGATGGCTCAGTTCTTGGCCTGAAAAGAGTTTGATTTACAAGAGCCCATCGAGAAATCTCCATCTTCTCACACACAGCAGAGAAATGACAGCCTGTCAGCGACGAGCTTTGCTCAGTGATTGAACACGTTTGAAGTAAGGTGAGATAACATCAGGAGAGGAACAACGGTATTCATTGCTTGTTAATTTGAATGATGGCGAGCTCTTTGTTCAGTCAAAATAGAGCATTGTTTTGACTGATTAGATCTCTAATCTTATTTACAGAGGAAAGAGGACAGCTTCTGGTTACAATTGCTTAGCTTTTTTGCTGGATATGCTTGAAGCATAATGATGTAGTAAGTTAGTACAGACTCACATCTTTTAATAGTCTTTAAAAGAGAGGAATCCCATCCTAAATCAGTGTTTCCACATCTATTTTTATCAAATGTACCTCCATAAAGTACAACAGAGCTGGCCCAATTTTTTTTAGCACACTCGGTTCCAAAAGTATTTTTCCCATTAATTTTTCCTATAGAGATTCTAAAAAATTATTTTAAGAATCCAAACAAACTAGCGAGGCGAATAGAAAATTGGACAAAAAGACAAAGGTACAAGACTACGCCAATGATGCTCAAGTACCGCTTTGTTGACTACAAAACAGAATAATATTTCTTAAAGTCATGAATCACAGTTTACAACCAGTTTTACTTCCATAATGTTCAACAAAGGAACATCAACATTTTTTCAACTCCTTAAAAAGACATAGCCATGGATTCATTTAGCCAATATCAGGGTTATTTATGAATGGAAGTTGGAGTGGAGTCTTTGAATAATGCTAAATAATATGTATCAATCACAGTAATGTTTTGAATTTATTCTGAAGTGGTGTGCTATGATTTATTAGACGTGTGTTGTTGTTGGGTCTACTGTAGCCGTCTGTGTAATTAGTGTAATTACGGACACTGGGATCCACAGCGGAGTCTCAGACTGCTGCCGTTTGTTGCGTAAATTAGCCGCTGTACTTAACCTCAAGCTGCCTGTTTGTAGACTGAATGTATGTATGTTCAGTTTGTAAAAGCGACGGAGTGTGTATGTTCATGTCACGGGGTCAAGGTTTGGCTGGTTAGCATGGTCCAGTTAACTTCTGCTGGATAAAATTCTAAAAAGCACCTTTCTCCATCGGTGACCAAATGTAGCTGTGTATATAGATCAAATACATTATTTGTAAGTTGCTTTCACCAGTGTTATTTTAGCGTTATTTATATACTATTATAGTATTTATTAATATTTTGAATTTACTTTTATTTTTTATATTTTCAGTTTTCATTTTATTTTTTGTAGTCAAATTTTTGTAATAGTTTTTTTTATATATATATTGTAGCTTAAATTTATTTTTGTTTTAGTTGTAATAATTTTAAAATGAACTATTTAGTTGCTACAGCAACATTTCTAATTGTATCTAAGTTTATCTATATATCTTAAGTTTTATCTATATTTCTAAGTTTATCCATCTAATATTTATCTAATGTCTACTTTTATTTTATTCCAGCTTTATTTCAAATACTGTTTTAGTTAACAATTGCAACACTGGTTCTCACCCAGTGCACATTCTTTTCAAATCAAAAACCAAAATATAACATCCAAAATAGAAGAAATATTCGCCTCAAGGTGTGTGTAAGTCTTCTAAGGAGAAAGTCACACATGCTTGATATCACATGAACTGTAATGATGATGCTTGTTAGTAGGTCTTGCTATTACACCGTCTGATGGAACGCTGAATAATTCATCAGAGAGCCCCCTCAGGGAAGGCTTTACTTTACCATCAATCCATGTCATCTGTCTCCACTCTTGCACTTTTTTTCCCCTCAAAGTACTCTTCACCTGCTTGACCGGCAACAATAAAGTGACCCTCATGTATCGTTAACCGTCCAGCTCTGACAGGCCGGGGAGAAGAGATGCTCTGTTGAGTCCCTTATCTGTCAGGTCTGTCTACGGAGAGCTGCGGAACTGTTACACTGTTCCAAGACTAGTTGTGCCCAGTCACATATTTCCTATGAGATTATGATTGGCAGCGAATTGCATTCAAAAATGAGTTAAGTTTTTTTCCCCCTCCCTTGCTGATAGTAAATATACTATTACTTTTAAATACATTTTAGTGTTTTACTTTTTTTTTGTTTAATAAATGTTACTAAAGAAAGAGGAAACTATGTTTGTTCTGCAAAAATGTCACACTTTCTTTTAAAAAAGAATGGTCTACTAATTAAGGAAGAAATTATTTTTGTATTGGAGTTAGTTTTTTCTTAGTTTTCTGAAAATAATGCTGGACATTACTCATGACAAAAGACAAGAATATGAGAAATGATTCTGAAAAATGAGAATGAACTGTTCTTCTCCTGAGTCCTGAAACAGTTGGCATCCACTTTTGAGGAGGTTTTTTGACCTTCAGACACTTAAGCCTCTTGACTTGTCCCAATGTTAATTTTTTTTAATTTATTGTTATTTGGTATTATTGACATATGTGTGGTGTTATCACATTACCTATTGGGAAGTCGTGGCCTAATGGTTAGCGAGTCGGACTCGTAACCCAAAGGTTGTGGGTTCGAGTCTCGTACCAGCAGGGATTGTAGGTGGGGGAGTGAATGTATAGCGCTCTCTCCCACCTTCAATATCACAATATTCAATAGCCCTTGAGCAAGGCTGCCCACTGCTCCGGGTGTGTGTTCACTGTTGTGTGTGTGCACTTAGGATGCCGCATAAATGGCTGCCCACTGCTCCGGGTGTGTGTTCACTGTTGTGTGTGTGCACTTAGGATGGGATAAATGCAGAGCACTAATTTCTAGTATGGGTCACCATACTTGGCCACATGTCACGTCACTTGTTTTTCACTTTTTTATATTGCACTAACAATTAAAGCTTATTTCAGTGCCCACGCAACTTAAGTGATGTCAGCTGAGAAGAAAATTGTTTCAAAGGTGGAGCAAGTTATTACATTTTGATGAAAAATGACAAAGACAATTTTTTTCCCTTTTCAATAGCATGCACTGATAGCATCAGCATCCCGCCCCTTACCTAACCCTCTGCCACCAAACACACACTCTTGTACAGAGTAAATCAATTATTCAGCTCACTCTCTGAGAGCATGTGCATGATTCAAGGCCAAAACAAGCAGAAACACTCTCCTCTCATAAGCGCGGCCTTGTCTTGAAAAGATGATTGTGAAACCGAACCAGCAAGCTTGAAAAGAGCTTCAGAGTTCATACAGGATCCTATTAATGAATTATGATTTGCGTGTTTTATATTATTTCAGAATAAAGACAAGACACAGAGCAGGCTGGCCTGGTATTTTACTAAAAACAAAAGCCTGCACAAAAGAAAACATCAGAATAATATATGGGTGGGGATCATTTGTTGCGCAAAAGGCTTCGCTCATGACTAATAGTTCATCCACAAATAACTTTAAATGACTTAAAAAAAAAATTTTTTTAAACAAATTCATTTTTTGTGTATTATTATTACTACATAAGTAAATAAAGCTAATAAATAAATAACAAATGTAGATGCTTCCTCTGTATTAGATGCCCCCCAGCTATTTAATAAAGTAGTGGGGACAAAATTGGCCATTACTAAAATTGTCCGGGAAATCCCCACTGTAAATGCTGCTTTTGGATCCTAATTTCAAAAATGTTGAATAAAAACACTAAACCCAACCCGCCCAGGTCCACATGGCACAGCCTATCTATCCAAGAAAATCCAGAGCATATTAGATAAACGCAAGGACTACTTTTGCAATTGGTAAAATGGAAATAACGCTTGTGCGGGCGCAGAAAGAGAGATGCACATTGATCTTTAAGTCTCTGTTGGAGTGGCCTGGTTTGTTTGATCTCTCCTACGCAGTCTCTGTCTCTCTGTCTACGGTTCACAGCGATTTCACTGCAAACCGCTTTTGTTTGTACTGTGTATGAGACAGTTTGTTTTGTCAAATTGAGAGTTGTTTTGTAAGCTTGTAAGAGTGGCCCCTGTCATGATACATGTGTTGAATGTAAAGAAGCATAGCTGTGGGTATGGCAGCGGGAAAAATGGATGTCTCGTGGGATGCTGAGCATGGTTCCCCCAACACATAATTTCTACTGATCTATGTGTTCATATAAGAAAAAAAAGCTAAATCTGTCACAGAGATAAGAAATAAGAAGTTGCTTAAGACTTAAGGCGCTACTGTTGACTTGAAGTAAATAGACTTTAAAAAACCCACCTGAGCAGTTAAATGAGCAAAAAGGAGATTTATATTGACTTATGAGAGAATGTGAAATCATAATTTATATGAATATATTTAAGTTTCAGAGAAACGCAATTTCTTTCTGCAAAAAGTCATTTTCTTAATATTTTTGTCTTGTTTTCCAGTATATGCACTGAACCAAATAAATAAATAAATAAAAAATCCTTAAACCCAAAAATGTCATTTTAAAAGGTGCTGTATGTAATTTTTGGACTGTACCAAAGCATAAAAATATTAAAGCATAAAAATGTTTGCAGACATTTAGGAAACATGCAAAGTTGACACACTTGTATCTCAGAAAAACAATGCTACAGCCAGTTATTCTACTTTGAAATGTGCATTCCGTGTTGTTTTGGTCTGTGTGATTCCACCCACTGCCAATTTACACAATAGTATTTTGACACCCCGGGTTGCTAGTTGGTGGAAAACATAGCGTATTGCAACCATGAAAGCCAGCAAACAAATTGGGTCAGAAATTGTGCATTCTACCCAACCTTAAAAGCCTTGGCATCCATCAAAAAGCTCTATAACCAGATGCATAGATATCAACTCTAGATCAACTTACAGTGTAAGGCTTTTCAACCTCCATTTTCAAATGCACTCATTCCTATTGTGTGTCTTCAATCTGGCAACTTGTATGAGCGTTGAGTCTGAGGAGGAACAACACTCTCCAATATTTTGAATTTGGACTGCAGTACCCATTTTAACCTCTAGCTGTCAATATTGCATACTGCACCTTGAAAGGGATAGTTCCTCCAAAAATACCCCATGATTTACTCACACTTAAGCCATCCTAGGTGTATATGACTTTCTTCTTTCAGACGAAACAATCAGAGTTATATTAAAAAATGTCCTGGCTCTTCCAAGCTTTATAACGGCAGTGAATGGGGGTTGAGATTTTGAAGCTGCTAACTGTTTCTGCTAACTGTCATATGTGTGTTCACTAGAGAGTGGCATTCCAGCATATGACGTAGAACAGGGGCGATTCCAGGATTTTCATTTTAGGGTGGCTCCAATGAGGGTATAATACAGGGGTGCCCAAACTCGGTCCTGGAGGGCCGGTGTCCTGCAGAGTTTATTTACTGTATTTACAAAGAACTGCACAGATGCAGATATTATAACAGTCTATCAATAAACACACACCTTGTCCTCTGTTTCTCGCTCTGCGCCGCTGCGGTCTACGGCAGGGTTGCCAAGTTTTCTCAACAAAACCCGCCCAATCGCTACTCAAAACTAGCCCAATCACGTTTCGAGGGGGGTCCCCGTTAAAAATCGCGTTCCAGGAGTAAAATACACGTTTTTTGGCATAGTTCCCCTGGTAAAATTTGCATTTCAGGGGCTAAATATCACGTTATTGAGGTAGCTTCAACCTAGCGGACATGAAAAACAACCCGCGGCAACAGTGTTAAAGTAGCCTAATTCCGCGGGAAAACTGTGGACTTGGCAACACTGGTCTGCGGATTGAAAAAGAACGTGCTGAAAGACGGGTAGGAGCCGATGGAATTTAAAGGGGACTGAGGCGATCACGAATTCGTGTACAGTTGATGGAACTAATCACTAAATTTTAGGGGGGCTGAGTAGTCATTTTAGGGGGGCTATAGCCAGGGGCTTCATGCACTCAATATTTTTGAGGGGGCACGAATTGGGGGGGGCTTACACAACATAAGTGCCACAACAGCACTTATGTGTTATTTATTTTTTCCTTTTTATTCGAAACATTCCCAAAAGCATTAACTAGATCATGAAATATCTTGATTCTCACCTTTATGGATTATGTTGATCTATAGTGGGCGATGGTCAAAGTAACCTAATAATGTAATCTATTAACTATGCATAACAACCTGTCTGTTTACTTAATTAACAGATATGGGTGTCATGCCATAACATATTTTTAATACGACATTGAAAGTTAATGTGAATAAAAACATTGCAAGTTAAGCTACTAATCATAACACTTTCATTGTACAGAAAGAGAGCAAAGAACATTTACATTATCAAAGAACATTTTCACTTACAGTCTAGTTCAAGCACTCTCAAAAACTCCCATAAAAATCACTGAAGCTGTTTACACTATGAAATTAATATCTTACAGATTCGTGCACACATTTGCACTTTGTTGTTTCTGATGAGAGAATTCGCCAGAAAGAGGTATTCAGTCAGCGAGCGTGAAGAAAACACCGGCATTTTAGCGATGACTCATCTGAACGTCTCTGATTGGTCAATGCATTCATAAGCTCAACAGCATCGTGTGTGATTGGTTATAATGCGCAGTGCTGTAAAAACGCGTCTGTCTCTGGCTCAGCGCCAGCCAGCGAATGCAGATTTAAATTTAGCGGCTGATGTTATGAGGCGCTTGAATGATTTAATCACGCCGGTGTGATTGTATTAAATATAGAAAATATTGGCTATTTTTGTCTTTTGGAAGCTGCATTCAAAATCCACGTGGCTCAAAAATCTTGAATGGGCATGACGCCTCTGGCTATTCTCCCTAAAAATGGCCAGCGATGCCCATGACGTAGAACATAGGCGTAGGGGTAATTTGAATTTTTTTGGGGTGAACTATCCCTTTAAATTGTATTATCAACAAAACTTGTTTCATAAAATATGAATAATCTATACAAAATAACTACATTTAGTTAACTACGTAACACTAAAAAACAATTTAACAATTACTTAAGAAAAATTATTTAAGATATACTGTATTCTAGTATAAATATTTTATGATAAAAAAATAAGAGCAGCTGCAGAAAAATATGAAATAATTTTTTATATATATATATATATACTGTGTATATATACAGTATATACATACATGCATACACAGTGCTGTGTGTGATTGTCGTAGCTTTGTATCTCAGTAGGTGATGCTGTGACCTCTCTCCACAGGTGAGTGATGGCAGCCTGACGATTGTTTCCATCAGCCGTGAGGACAGGGGAGCATACACATGCCGAGCGTACAGCGAGCAGGGAGAGGCCATCCATACTACACGCCTACTCGTCCAAGGTAGCACCAAAACTGCCCTAAACTGTTTCCTCATGACTTTATAGTTTGCTATGAACTGAATGTTGTCAGAGTGCTGTGCAGTGTGTTTGAACAGTCCTCTGTGTGTTTGTGTCTATGTATGTGTGTACAGTCATGCTTGCAAAGCTGCATGCTGCATGGCACCCATGCTGCAGAGCTACAGAGATAATTGGACTCCATATGTTGGCTGTCTGGTACAGTATAAAGCAGTAATGGGTTCACTTCAGTTCAGATTTTTCACCATAGTGTTGCCAAAGAAGCTTTTTCCTGTTGGGTTCCCTATCTGTTCTGTCTGCTGCTTTTAGCATGCCATGTTAGCATTTAACCCAGTAACGCAATGGATTTATAACTTTTGTTGTCTATTTGTAACGTTTTTTGTTTTGTTTAAAAAAAAATAAAAAATGGGTGGCAGTGGCCTACTCATAATCATAAATACATAAATACAAATATAAAAGTTGTCAAAAGATTAAATTTAAATTTCAGTGGCAGATTTCTGCAACCGTGTTCTTTATACACCTTATTCACACTTCTAGACAACAATAAAGCACTCCTTCCTATTTTTGTCCCATCAAATGCAAATCAAACCAGTGTCAAAATCAATGCAGTCATAAAATGGCATTCCATTTTTTCTAAAACTGCTTCTTTTGAATTTCTTTTTCACCCACTTTACTGAATGGTTAAAGTGAATCATTGTAATAGTAGCCATTTAATTCTAATAACTATAATGCTAAATGATATCCTGTATAATAGCACAATCAATACTGATTTGGTGTTGGTGAAGTGGTGCTTTAGTATTGAAGCCTGTTTCTGCCATAGTTGAGTAAAGAAATCTGATTCTGTAATTCATGATAATGAGAAACTTGTTCACAGTAAAGAGAAACTTTCTTGTTATAATGACTTTGGACCAGACCAAAAATGTTTTCAGGAAATTTCTGTACTCGTCTAGACTACTGTATGAAACATTTGAAGATGTCAAGGGCCAAACAATAAAATAAATACATGAAAATCAGTTGAGAAGTATCAAAAATAAATGAATGTAAAACTGAGTAATAAGACCTTCACTTAACAAGAAGAAAGAAGAAAAAAATCTGTTAGTTTAAATGAACTGCTGAGACATAAAAGTGCCAAGTTGCAGAAACATTGTTTTGTAGACATGTTGGCTGTCTAGCGAGTTTGTTTTTGTACTGTAATGTGTGTGTGCTGTCGAGCAGGATGGAGAGCATCTGTAGAGTCCGTGCCTGCTCAGGGAGCTCTCTGCAGGCTTTCTCCACAGAAGAGCCCTCTCTTTACACTGGCACTGCCAACTGAAGCGATGCCCACAGTGGGCGGTAGAGTGAGATCTGTGGGTAGGCCGTTGCAGATTGTCACACTGGGTAGAATTCTTATCATTTTAGCCAATGATATTCAAATGACGGCTGGTCCAAATATGTACGGTACAGCTGAGTGGAACCTACATTATCTCTATTAACTCATTCAGTATCATTCAGTATGATACCATTAGGTATTCAGCATGTACACCACTGTAAATGAGGTATTGATGCATCCAATATTGTATGATTCACTCCACAATCGACTGACATTGTCAAACAGCTGTTGAATACAAATGACAGAACGAAAGTATATATTATTAGAAATATTTATAGGAAATCTTTTCTCCAATACTATTGTTTTTAACCTTGAAGAGGACTTGAAGATTGCTATATGCTCCAGTAGGATGTGACACATCCTGATATGTAATGCTGATTTATTATGTGTCTCTTTTCTATTTCAGGACCCCCATTTATTGTTTCACCGCCAGAGAACATAACCGTAAACATATCCCAGGATGCATTCTTCACTTGTCAGGCTGAGGCGTATCCTGGCAACCTAACGTACACCTGGTTCTGGGAGGAAGATAACGTCTTCTTCAAGAAGTAAAGTTATGATCGGGTTCATTACTGTACCATACCCACACTGTCCTGTGTCCATGCGGAGTTTGTCACAGTCCATGTAGTTTCATCATCATCATTGAGGCATCAGTGAGTTTTAGGGACTATGGCCATTGTGATACTGTTTTAGCCTTGTGTTTTGACATTTTCATAGAAAACCGAAATGTTATCATAGGTGCCCAAAATGCAACTAAATATGCCACCACTGATGTACTTACTGTACACTACTGTTCAATAGTTTGGCGTCAGTTCAATTTTTTATTTATTGATTTTTTTAAATAATACAAAAAAAGTTCTTTTGAAAGAATCCTGAAAAATATTATATCACAGTTTACACAAAAATGTTAAGCAGCACTGTTTTTAACAGTTTCAACTGTTCAACTATTTTCAGTTCATAGCTCACCATTCTGACCTATTTTTCTCAGAATTCTGAGTTTGCATCTTGTAATTCTGACTTTTTTAAATTCTGAGTTTACATCTCGCAATTCTGTCTTTTTTTTCCTCACTGTTGCAAGTTTATCTAATATTTAACAATGCAGACTTTTCTTCTCCGAGCTGTAAGTTTATATCTCAAAGTTTGTAACTGCAATTCAGATTTTTTTTCTTTTTCGTTTTTGAATTGTAAGTTTACATGTCACAATTCAGTTTTTTTTGTTTCTGCCACAGAATAAAAAATAATAATAAAAAAGGTAACTGTGAGAATTGTGAGGTATAACCCCAGAACTGCAAGAAAAAACTAAACATAATTTTAAGATAATACATCACAATTACGGTTTTTATTTTTATATTCCGTAACGGAAATGGGCTTCCTTATAAAACAGTTCTTTTAAATTATAAAACCAGGGCTGAATTTATTTGATCAAAAAATCTTCCCGACCACGAACATTTGAATTGTAGTGTTCATCCATTGATAAACAGATGCGTTTTTTAATTTCAGTTTATTTGTAAAGATCTGTCTGTCAAAAAAAATATTAATTTAGTGCCAAGCTCTGAGCCCCCTACAACTGAAATTATAGAAGAAAAAACACAAAATAGTTTAAACAGAAAAAAAGTGTCACAATGAAAGTTTGCTATGTGTTTCTCACTTGTGTTTACACTGTGTGCATGTGTCAGTGTCATTACACTTGTTTGGAGGTCTCATACACCTCAGATTGTCTCATTCATGTCTTGCTTGCCCTGTGTGCACCTTTATGAACGTTCTGACGGACTGAAATACTTTGATGCCTTATAAGTGACTAATTGGGAATGTTATACATAGAAAGCTACTCCTCACATGAAGACCAATTGATTTCCTTTGACTTTAGCAATAACATGTTGCTAAGGTAACACCATGATAGTCTAGTAAACATAGAAACACATAGTACACATAGTGCTTGTGTCATTATACGCTCTGCTAGCACGGATTAGAAGTAGCGGTGCCCTGAGCCATCCAAGATGCCCTCATGCGTGGCCTGTACACTCTATAGAAAAAGGATATTATGGTTTTTCCTTTTTAATAGCGGCTCTGTGCAGCAGGACAGGTGGAAGCACAGGCAAGAATAGAGGCCACGCAAGCATTTTGTCCACTGGAGGTTTTTTTTTTTTTGCCTCTGATCTCTGCCCCGGACACTCCATCTGTTCTTGTTGAAAGAGTAGATTGTAATTCATGAAGCTTTGAATTGTGCTTTATTATCTGGTTTTAAATTAATTGACACATGCATACATATTTATAGGGATAGCTTAGAAAAAAATGTCATTATTTACAAACTTTCATGTTGTTCCAGTAATGGAACATAAAAATACTGTACACTACTGTTCAAAAGTTTGGGGTCGGTAAGATTATTTTTAATGTATTAGCTGTGTCTTAGTCTCACCAAGGTTGTGTTTATTTGGTGTAAAATAATGGTTAATATTGTGAAATATTATTATAATTTTAAATAAATTCTGTTTTAATTTTTTTCTCCTGTGATGACAAAGCTGAATGTTCAGCAGCCATTACTCAGTGTCACAATATATTTCAGAAATCATTCTAATATGCTGATTTGGTGCTCAAGAAACATTCTCTTATTATCATTATTGAAAACAGTTGTGCTGCTTAATATGTTTCTGTAAACCATGATATTTTTTTTTCAGGATAAATGGAAAGTTCAACAGAACAAACAAAAATCTTACTGAACCCAAATTTATGAACGGTAGTGTATGTACAATAAGAAATGACAGCTTTGTGGCAATAATGACTTGTAAGCAGTGTAAACTGTGTGAATCATCATTACTATTGATGCTAATTCAACTTTCTCTTTTGATTCTTCTTTGTCAATCTTTCTTTCTCTCTCTCCAGTGATCTAAAGCGCAGAGTGAGTATTCTGATCGACGGTTCGCTCATCATCTCCCAGGTGAAACCTGAGGATGCTGGGAAATACACCTGCAGCCCGAGTAACAGCCTTGGGCGCCCACCTTCTGCATCAGCGTACCTGACAGTGCATTGTGAGTCAGTCTGCAGAGCAATCTGCTGATACACAACTAGATCTTAGAAACACTACATCTTTGTCTTTTATCTGAAAACATTTGTGACCCTGGACCACAAAACCAGTCTTAAGGGTCAATTTTTTGAAATTGAGATTTATACATCATCTGAAAGCTGAATAAATAAGCTTTCTCCATTGATGTATGGTTTGTTAGGATATGACAATATTTGGCCGAGATGCATCTATTTGAAAATCTGGAATCTGAGGGTGCAAAAAAATCAAAATATTGAGAAAATCGCCTTTAAAGTTGTTCAAATGATGTTCTTAGCCATGCATATTACTAATCAGAATTAAGTTTTGATATATTTACAGTAGGAAATGTACAAAATATTTTTATGGAACATGATCTTTACTTAATATCCTAATGATTTTTGGCATAAAAGAAAAATCAATAATTTTGACCCATACAATGTATTTTTGGCTATTGCTACAAATATACCCCAGCGACTTAAGACTGGTTTTGTGCTCCAGGGTCACATTTGTCCTTTTCTGGTGCCCCTAAAAATTCTCAATTTTTCGAAATTGAGATTTATACATCATCTGAAAGCTGAATAAATAAGCTTTCTCCATTGATGTATGGTTTGTTAGGATATGACAATATTTGGCCGAGATGCATCTATTTGAAAATCTGGAATCTGAGGGTGCAAAAAAATCAAAATATTGAGAAAATCGCCTTTAAAGTTGTTCAAATGATGTTCTTAGCCATGCATATTACTAATCAGAATTAAGTTTTGATATATTTACAGTAGGAAATGTACAAAATATTTTTATGGAACATGATCTTTACTTAATATCCTAATGATTTTTGGCATAAAAGAAAAATCAATAATTTTGACCCATACAATGTATTTTTGGCTATTGCTACAAATATACCCCAGCGACTTAAGACTGGTTTTGTGCTCCAGGGTCACATTTGTCCTTTTCTGGTGCCCCTAAAAATTCTCACTGCATTGCACAGTGCAGATGCTGAACTACAACTGCAGTATGTAGGCGAGAAACCACCAGAATAGAATCGATTTGGTATTTGTACTTCTTGTCAATATATCCTGCCGAACATACAGTGGGTTCAGAAATCGGAAAAAAATTCTGTTTTGTTGAACGTGATCATGTATGTCATCCAGCATGATTTGAGAATGATCCAAAGCATCTTGTGCTTCTAAAACTAAGAACATCTGACGTTTGTACACACTGTCAGTGTCACAAATTTGCATACATTTGATTAGTGACCTGGCAATCGTAATGTCATACATTTTCTTCCAATTTGTTGTAAATAATAAATAATTGCATAAATAAACCAACATATAAATAAATTGTTGAATTAAAGAATAAAGTGATCATTATGTCATACATTTTCCAATTTGTAAATGAATGAATGAAGAAAAAATTAATAATTTAACAAATTAAACAAGTAAATATTTATTAAAGTAAATAACCAAGAAATAAATTAATGAATTATTAAATTAAACAATAAAGTAATGATTATATAAACTTATTATATAAATAAATATCGCTTTGGATAAAAGCGTCTGCTAAATGACTAAATGTAAATGTAAAATAAACTTTCTTCCAATTTGTTGTAAAAAAAAAATCAAACACCAATGCAGATGATTTAAGACTTCCGGATATAGGTGATTTCCTGAATTTATACTAAATGATGATGTCCTGTATTACTTATGATACAATGACAACCTTTCACTGTAACAAATCCTTTTTAGATGAAGCAGTGATTCCCAATTGCCTATTGTATTACGTAATGTCATACATGACATAATAGAGGAGGAATTCTCCTTCATCCTGAATCTGTGACATTGGTCTCACTCTCACTGGATTGAGCATGAAAACAACCTTCATCAGCGCATTATGCCTTTTCATCATGGGCCAAATAAGTTTGACGTTTTCATGTATGCTGAATAACCGAGGTATGTAACAGATTTACTTGCAGAGTGATCTTTTGTAATTGATGAAGGGTTACTTTAGTGTCCTGGCATGTTCCGTCTCAATACATGGGTACGAGGGTGTATTAGCTTCAAATGCCGCTGTTGGGCAGGCTGACGCTTTCTATTTGCAACCGAGAGATTGGAATGGCCTTCTGTCCCCGGAGTCTGGAGCAGAATTGAAACAGTGACCTTGAGTGAGTAAGCTAGCAGATCACTCAGTCACGGCTCATGTCCTCCACACCGATAGACTGACGCAAAGAACATGGGATGTTTCTAGACATTGTTGGAAAAAAGCACCAAAAAAAAAAAAAAAAACATGTTGCATTTGCAATAAATAGCGATGGGAATGAACGCTGCAGAAGTTGCTGTGGTATCCGAGGCAACAGACGTTTCAGATTCCCTCTCTCGGAGGAAGCCTGTGTCGGACCAGCTTGGCAGTGTTGAAGTGGCGGAAAGGGATTACATCATAGCAGGAAGCCCAGACTGCAGGAATTTTCACCTGTCCTCCTTCAACAGTCTCATTCGCTGGCACATAGCCTGACCGCCCATGTGTGTAGCGAGCAGATGTGCAGAGAAAGTGTATTTGACAGTGAGTGAGAAAAAAGGAGAGTGGAATATAAAGGGATGACATCATCCTGTGTGGAAACCCTCTTCTCTGCAGTGACGTCATCTGCAGACACTCCGGCAGACTGTTAGCGTGGGCGATGGTGGCCCCGTTGGATGTCTGGCGGCATTGCAGGTCTGCTCCATGCACTGAGATTGCCTACATTTTTTTCCTTTCCTCCTCTTCCTTTTCTTTTCCTTAGCATTCCTGTCCTTCATCCACACGACTCCCTTTTCTTCTGATCTTTTCTCAACTCTACACTTCTTTCTGGTCCACTCCTCCCATCATCCCGTCCCTCAGCTCCACACAGGGTCTAAAAATAGACCCTGGCACTTTGCTAAGCATTAAGATGGAGCAGTGGATTTCTTCAAAGTGTTCGTTTCGGAGCGCCGCTCCCTTTCGTTCTTCAGCATGCTGCTGTTGGCTGGTGTCTTCACTAATTAGAGACTGTGATTTATGAGTCACATGCAACTGAATCTCTTTACAGTATTATTGATACTCTTTGCTTTAAATGTTGTTTATACAATATAAAGAAGGGAAAAGTTATCAGAAATAATGCTGTTGTTCATGCTTTGTTGCTCAGATGAATTAATAGTGGCTTTTCACAGCATTGGTTGTTTTTTTCCTTCATTGCCTGTGATATCGCACAATTCTGTACATGCAGTTGATTGACCTAATAATGTGTTTGTTATTTATGGTGTGTTTATTTGTTATATTTATGTATTAATTTTTCATTCAAAGGTTTGGGGTTGGTTATGAGCTTATGCTCACCAAGACTACATTTATTTGATCAAAAGTACAGTTAAAAGTAAAATTATGAAATATTATTAACAAATAAAATAACTCTATAACTATCCATTTTCCTGTATTTTAAAATTAAATTTATTCCTGTGATGGTAAAGCTGAATTTTCTTATGATCCTTCAGAAAACATTGTAATATGCTGATTTGGGGATCAAGAAACAATTGTGCTGCTTAATATTTTTGTGGAAACTGTGATACTTAAAAAAAAAAATCTTTGGTGGAAAAAAAGTAAATTCAAAAGAACAGCATTTATTTTTAATAGTTTTTTTAAAATAACATAATGTCAGAATGTCTGAAAAAACTGTCAGTTTTGATTAGTTCAATGCATCCAATGCAAAAAAAAACAATCTTACTGACCTTAAACTTTTAAATGACGAGTCAACTTAAGACTCCAGTTCTACAGTAAAATAAATATTGTAGTCACAAAATATTTGCAGTTATCTCTAAAACTTGAAATTGTTTTATATCATTAGACATGCCATTATTGTGCCTTGGAAGCCAATCCAGTTTCCTTAGGAAATGCTTTCTTACACTAAACACTGCCTGTTTAGTCAACTGAAAAGGTAAACCATATTTAGTGACAAAAATTTGGGATCTTTTTTGTGGCTTTCTCAATTAAAATCAGCCCACAACACCCTACCATCATCTTTTCAGTTGCCTACATTGTGGAGATTTTTGCATGGGCAAACACAACAGTTTCTGTTTTTATTTCAGTTATGTAACTTGTAGCTATTTCCCCCTCTGTTTTCAAGGAGCTAACTGTGCTGTCCTACGATTAGCTGAATAACAGTCTCAGTGTGAGCTAGTTCAGACCTTTTTGTCACATTTCACACTCTCATTTCAGGCATGTGAGAGCGAAAAGTTCTTTATTAGTGTACTTCTCCATCAGTACTTGATTTATTCAGAGGATTTGTGCTAAATGTTCCAGACTATAATGGCTCAGAGAGACATCCAGTACAAACTCCTCTCATCTGTCTGACAGTTTAACAATGGACTAACCTAAATGTCTAATTTTATAACAACTCTTTATAAAAGTGCTTATGCTGTTTGAAATGTTTTTACCTCTCGTTATATCCCGTAGACCCTGCCCGTGTTGTAAACATGCCGCCTGTTATTTACGTGGCTATCGGACTGCCGGGGTACATCCGCTGCCCGGTGGATGCCAACCCGCCTGTCACTTCAGTGAAGTGGAAAAAGGACAGCCTGCCTCTGCGGATAGAGAAGGTGAGTCCAGCTGGACAATGATCTCAGTGTTTTCACAGATGCTGTCACATGGGCCTTGGCGATCTCTCTCTCTCTCTCTCTCTCTCTCTCTCTCTCTCTCTCTCTCTCTCTCATTTTTGAGATGAGGTTTTTTTACTGCTCTAC